CTCTCTTGCTACCGTTTAAGTCAGGGCTTTTCAACCAGTGGTACGGGTACCACCTGTGGTACATTGGCACCTGGCAGGTGGTACGCAGCCATCCTAGAAAAGTGGTAGTGGGGGAGGGGAATGAGCTGAACCGGTGGCAGCACCGCACAAGCCTGAGCGAGAGACGGCTGGAGCTGCAGGGCTGTCAGGGCTCAGCGGAAGCGCCAGGATCAGTGCCGCTTTCCAGATGATCGGCGCTTCTTCTGGGCTGTCAGGGCTCAGCGGAAGCGCCAGGATCAGTGCCAGGCTCCAGCTGGAGCTCGGCGATGATCCTGGCGCTTCCGCTGAGCCCAGAAGAAGCGCCGATCAGCTGGCATGTTGCAGCCTCTCCAGGGTCTTGTGATTTACATTCAGATGCTTGGCCACTGATTCATATTTATGATGGTCACAGTGTCCCAGGGTCATGTGAAGTGACCAAAACCTGCTGCAACCACCCAGCAGACAGGGGGAATAAAAACCAAACACCCCCCACCCCACCCCCGCTGCCAATCCTCAACAGAAATGCTCACAACAATGAAAACCTCAGGCAGGAGGAAGAGTGTGGCCAGGTGGGCAGGCAGGTGTGTTGCACGACTGTTGCTTGGGGGGCACTTTTTTCAGTGCCATTGTAACTTCGAACAGTCATTAAGCGAACTGTTGTAAGTCGAGGACTACCTGTACTTTATCACTTGTTTCCTTTTTTTTTTTTTTTGATCATCAAGATTTTGACACCTTGCTAGGCGACTGGTGGTACTCGGATGTTGCCATATTCTAAAAGTGGTACAATGGGTGAAAAGGTTGAAAAGCCCTGGTTTAAGTGACTCGCCGCAGTTGTTAAGTCAGTAACACGGTTGTTAATTGAATTTGGCTTCCCCCCTATTGGCTTGCCTTGCCCCGAAAGGGGATCGTGTGACCCAGGGACACTGCAACTGTTGTAAATATGAGCCGGTTGCCAAGCGTCCCAATTTCGAACGCGTGACCAAAAGGGGATGCTGTAACGGTCGTACGTGTGAAAAATGGTCATATGCCACTTTTTTTCAGCGAACAGTCACTAAACGAATAGTTATAAGCCAAGGATTCCCTGTAACTGCTCTAACATTGGATTTTAGCCTTTGAACATTTTTAGCCCCAGTTAAAAAGATGCTGCTTTAATTCTCTGCGCACAAAAGCTGTACAGCCAAAGTGCCTTTGTATACACACACAGGTGGCACTTGTTGGCAATTCTTTTAAGCCAAATGCATCATTTTGGGGATGGTGCACCAGCTGCAGAACGCCACAGGGCAATCTGTACCCTAGTTTCTCAAGGTTACACTTGTGTATCTAATGTACGTTAAAGGCTGCTTTATTTACCTGCATCAGCAGAAGAGATAGAGCTATTTCCGGACACTATCGGCCCTTTGTTTGTTTAAAAAAAAAGAAATGCAACTAGACACAGACACAACACTGATAGTTCTGGGAACAAACATACTATTCTAAGCACACTGATGCAGTATAAAACAGAAGCAGTGTGAAAATGGCACTTATCTTAGCACAGGGGTCTTCAAACTTGGCAACTTTTAAGACTTGTGGACTTCAACTCCCAGAATTCCTCAGCCAGTT